CAAGTCACTCAAACTCACCAACAAGTCACTCATAACTCACTAACCAACAAGTCACTCATAACTCACTAACCAACAAGTCACTCATAACTCACTAACCAACAAGTCACTCATAACTCACTAACCCAACAAGTCACTCATAACTCACTAACCAACCAACATAAGTCACTCATAACTCACTAACCCAACAAGTCACTCATAACTCACTAACCAACAAGTCACTCATAACTCACTAACCAACAAGTCACTCATAACTCACTAACCAACAGTCACTCACTAACTCACTAACCAACAAGTCACTCATAACTCACTAACCAACAAGTCACTCATAACTCACTAACCAACAAGTCACTCATAACTCACTAACCAACAAGTCACTCATAACTCACTAACCAACAAGTCACTCATAACTCACTAACCAACAAGTCACTCATAACTCACTAACCAACAAGTCACTCATAACTCACTAACCAACAAGTCACTCATAACTCACTAACCAACAAGTCAACAACTCACTAACCAACAGTCACTCATAACTCACTAACCAACAAGTCACTCATAACTCACTAACCAACAAGTCACTCATAACTCACTAACCAACAAGTCACTCATAACTCACTAACCAACAAGTCACTCATAACTCACTAACCAACAAGTCACTCATAACTCACTAACCAACAAGTCACTCATAACTCATACTCAGTCACTCATAACTCACTAACAAACAAGTCACTCATAACTCACTAACCAACAAGTCACTCATAACTCACTAACCAACAAGTCACTCATAACTCACTAACCACAAGTCACTCATAACTCACTAACCAACAAGTCACTCATAACTCACTAACCAACAAGTCACTCATAACTCACTAACCAACAAGTCACTCATAACTCACTAACAACCACTCATAAACTCACTCATAACTCACTAACCAACAAGTCACTCATAACTCACTAACCAACAAGTCACTCATAACTCACTAACCAACAAGTCACTCATAACTCACTAACCAACAAGTCACTCATAACTCACTAACCAACAAGTCACTCACTCACTAACCACTCACATAACTCACTAACCAACACTCATAACTCAGTCACTCATAACTCACTAACCAACAAGTCACTCATAACTCACTAACCAACAAGTCACTCATAACTCACTAACCAACAAGTCACTCATAACTCACTAACCAACAAGTCACTCATAACTCACTAACCAACAAGTCACTCATAACTCACTAACCAACAAGTCACTCATAACTCACTAACCAACAAGTCACTCATAACTCACTAACCAACAAGTCACTCATAACTCACTAACCAACAAGTCACTCATAACTCACTAACCAACAAGTCACTCATAACTCACTAACCAACAAGTCACTCATAACTCACTAACCAACAGTCACTCACTCATAACCAACTCACTAACCTAAACAAGTCACTCATAACTCACTAACCAACAAGTCACTCATCACTCACTAACCAACAAGTCACTCATAACTCACTAACCAACAAGTCACTCATAACTCACTAACCAACAAGTCACTCATAACTCACTAACCAACAAGTCACTCATAACTCACTAACAACAAGTCACTCATAACTCACTAACCAACAAGTCACTCATAACTCACTAACCAACAAGTCATCATAACTCATAACTCACTCACTAACCAACAATCACTCACTCATAACTCACTAACCAACAAGTCACTCATAACCCACTAACCAACAAGTCACTCATAACTCACTAACCAACAATTCACTCATAACTCACTAACCAACAAGTCACTCATAACTCACTAACCAACAAGTCACTCATAACTCACTAACCAACAAGTCACTCATAACTCACTAACCAACAAGTCACTCATAACTCACTAACCAACAAGTCACTCATAACTCACTAACCAACAAGTCACTCGCACGCACAAAAGCTATCTAAAAGGAGGTATCCAGACAAAAGGGGCAGCAACTCAGTGAAAGCACTAAATATTTTTGTAAAAGTTATTACCTAACTCAAAAAGAATTCCTGCTTGCGATCTGTGGAAGATGTAAGTTTTTAATTAGAAATGATGTTCGTGATGATGGTGACAGTGGTAGTGGCGACGATGATTGTAGTGGCGGTGATGATGATGGTGATGATTGTAGTAGTAGTGATGGTGAAGGTATTGATTATAGTGGTTGTGATGATAATTTTAATGATTGTAGGGGTGGTGATAATAATGGTGATGATTGTAGTAGTGATGATAGAGATGATTATAGTGGTGGTGATGATTGTTGTGGTGGTGATGATTAAGGTGATGATTATAGTCGTAGTGATGATTTTGGTGATGATTGTAGTAGTAATGGTGGTGATGATGATTGTGATGATGATGTAGTGGTGGTGATGATGATTGTGATGATGATGTAGTAGTGGTGATGATGCGGGTGAATACTGTAGTGGTGGTGATGATGATGATAATGGTAGTGGTGGTGATAATGATGATAATGGTAGTGGTGGTGATGATTAAGCTGATGATTATAGTCGTAGTGATGATTTTGGTGATGATTGTAGTAGTAATGGTGGTGTTGATGATGATGTAGTGGTGGTGGTGGTGATGATTGTGATGAAGATGTAGTGGTGGTGGTGATGATTGTGATGATGATGTAGTGGTGGTGGTGATGATTGTGATGATGATGTAGTGGTGGTGATGATGATTGTGATGATGATGTAGTGGTGGTAACGATGCGGGTGATGACTGTAGTGGTGGTGATGATGATGATAATGGTAGTGGTGGTGATGATGATGATAATGGTAGTGGTGGTGATGATTGCACTAGTGAAGAATTGGACCACATGCTTGTCTAACATTCCGCCATTCTAATCTAAGACAGACAGACAAACAGACAAACAGACAGACAGACAGACAGACAGACGGGTAGAACGAACAAAACGAACGAACAAACTTTATTTTTAAAGGGTTAAGAATTGGGCACGCAGGCCCGTCTAACATTCTGCCCTTCGAGGTCTCCCTCCATTCTTACATCATTTCATTCACACATCAAGTAAAATTAAAAGTTAGCAGTTGCATCAAAATAATCAATACAAGCGCCGGAATGTGCACATTTCTAACTACAGTAAAACGTATTAGTTGTAACAAATCCAAGGAAAATGAGCGCTATTTTTCACGTATGTTTTATCTTCTATGGGGGCATATAATCGGTGCTCAGATAATATTCGAACAGTTTCCGATTGTATGTATATGGACTAGTGATACTTTTGATTTGCTGTGGTAGATAGTTCCACAATTGAGCTGCGGAATATGACAAACTTGTTTTATAAAGGTTTATCCTAGGTTTAGGGATGTGTAATATGTTTAGACGCTTACTATGCCGTTCATTATATTTGAACAACGGCCATAAGTAACATGGAGCCTTTTGAGATAATATTTTGTAAGTATATTTTGCCTTATTGAAAAGTAGACATTCACGAAGCGGTAATAGTCTAAGACCTTTATATGTTTCGGAGCTCAGTGTTCCATGATTGTTACTAATTAAGCGAATGGCGCGCTTTTGCAGTGATGTGAGTCGCTTGATAACAGAGCTGAAGCAGCCATCCCATATTGTAGAGCAATAGTCTACATGTGTCTGGATGTGAGAAATATAGAATATCTTTCTTGTGTGTTCATCAGGAAACTTTTTAATTTTTGCAAGCTGGTAAACCTTTTTAGCTGTTTGCTTCACAAGTGCTTGTACGTGTGAGCTGAAGGTTAGATTTGCATCAATTACCAACCCCAGTGTCTTGTGCTCAGTTACATTTTCCACTTGAGTGCTCCCAATGTAGAGTTGAAGCGTTCTCTGAGAATTTAAACTGTATAGTTTTTGCCTGGTCGTTATTAGCATAGATTTGGTTTTCTTAATGTTTATTTGCATACGGTTTGCAATGCTCCATCGGACTACATTATTTAATTCTTGTTGTAATGACGACTCTAGTAAATTACATGTTTGAGCATTTGCATAGATGGTATATAGAGACAGACAGACAGACTGACAGACAGAAAAATGGACAGACAGACAAATGGACAGACAGACAGACCGACTGATAGACAGAGAGACAGACAGGCGGACAGATAGATGGACAGACAGACAGACATATAAACGGACAGACAGACAGATCTGACACTAAACTACATGAAGCCACTTACACATATGGTAGAAGTACTAGTAACAAATAAACCAGCCGTGTCCGAAACATTGTTCTCTTTCCTAAATTGTTTCTTCTCTCTTGGGGCTGAAGACTGCTTCCGGTTTTATGTTGTGTTTTTTTTTTTTTTTTTTTTCATAATTAGGAAAAAGGCAAGGAGGCAGAATAAAAATGACACGTTTTAAAATAAGATGAGGTTTAAATGTCATTGCTACCGGCTATCCCCATGACCCAGGTCTTCCTCTCTGTGGAATATCTAAACGCCTGTCGATAGCGTCGAACACTCCAGCCCCAGCCATATTTTCCCTAATGGCTTGTTGTAGATCGTTTACAGAAAACCAAAATGTGTGTGTGTGTGTGTGGCTGTTTGTGATTTTACTAAGTAATGTTTACGTTTAATAGTTTGCCATTGCCACTCAGCGGTCAGCTCTCAATACCACTTCTTTTTCTTCTTCTTCTTCCTCTTCTTTTACTTCTTTCTTTGCTTCTTTATAAATTCATTCATTCTATTAGCCACCGGACTCTGGGGTCCACACTGAGTGAAGGATCATTCATTATGGTTCCCTCTTTCATACGGTGCTTTCACGAAGATAGACAGGCAGAGAGACAGACAGACTGACGGAAGGATAGATAGATAGATAGATAGATAGATAGATAGATAGATAGATAGATAGATAGATAGATAGATAGATAGATAGATAGATAGATAGATAGATAGATAGATAGATAGATAGATAGATAGATAGATAGATAGATAGATAGATAGATAGATAGATAGATAGATAGATAGATAGATAGATAGATAGATAGATAGATAGATAGATAGATAGATAGATAGATAGATAGATAGATAGATAGATAGATAGATAGATAGATAGATAGATAGATAGATAGATAGATAGATAGATAGATAGATAGATTGATAGATAGATAGATAATTGATAGATAGATAGATAGATAGATAGATAGATAGATAGATAGATAGATAGATAGATAGATAGATAGATAGATAGATAGATAGATAGATAGATAGATAGATAGATAGATAGATAGATAGATAGATAGATAGATAGATAGATAGATAGATAGATAGATAGATAGATAGATAGATAGATAGATAGATAGATAGATAGATAGATAGATAGATAGATAGATAGATAGATAGATAGATAGATAGATAGATAGATAGATAGATAGATAGATAGATAGATAGATAGATAGATAGATAGATAGATAGATAGATAGATAGATAGATAGATAGATAGATAGATAGATAGATAGATAGATAGATAGATAGATTGATAGATAGATAGATAGATAGATCGATAGATCGATCGATAGATCGATCGATAGATCGATCGATAGATCGATCGATAGATCGATAGATCGATAGATCGATAGATCGATAGATCGATAGATAGATAGATCGATAGATCGATAGATCGATATATATATAGATAGATAGATAGATAGATAGATAGATAGATAGATAGATAGATAGATAGATAGATAGATAGATAGATAGATAGATAGATAGATAGATAGATAGATAGATAGATAGATAGATAGATAGATAGATAGATAGATAGATAGATAGATAGATAGATAGATAGATAGATAGATAGATAGATAGATAGATAGATAGATAGATAGATAGATAGATAGATAGATAGATAGATAGATAGATAGATAGATAGATAGATAGATAGATAGATAGATAGATAGATAGATAGATAGATAGATAGATAGATAGATAGATAGATAGATAGATAGATAGATAGATAGATAGATAGATAGATAGATAGATAGATAGATAGATAGATAGATAGATAGATAGATAGATAGATAGATAGATAGATAGATAGATAGATAGATAGATAGATAGATAGATAGATAGATAGATAGATAGATAGATAGATAGATAGATAGATAGATAGATAGATAGATAGATAGATAGATAGATAGATAGATAGATAGATAGATAGATAGATAGATAGATAGATAGATAGATAGATAGATAGATAGATAGATAGATAGATAGATAGATAGATAGATAGATAGATAGATAGATAGATAGATAGATAGATAGATAGATAGATAGATAGATAGATAGATAGATAGATAGATAGATAGATAGATAGATAGATAGATAGATAGATAGATAGATAGATAGATAGATAGATAGATAGATAGATAGATAGATAGATAGATAGATAGATAGATAGATAGATAGATAGATAGATAGATAGATAGATAGATAGATAGATAGATAGATAGATAGATAGATAGATAGATAGATAGATAGATAGATAGATAGATAGATAGATAGATAGATAGATAGATTAGATAGATAGATAGATAGATTAGATAGATAGATAGAATTGTCTTTCTGCCTGTCTGTCTATCTGTCAGTCTATCCATCCGACCATTATGACATTAACCCGTCTGTCTGGGTGCCTCCGTCTCTATCATTCCATCTATTTATCTATCGTTTCGCCCGTCCATTTACCAGTCTACTTATCTATGTGTTTGTTAATTCTTTCTGTCTCCGTATTGTGAGTTTAATTCTAAACAACAATTCCAACATGTCACAATATATTTACCAGCAACGTTACTGTAAATTTGTGCCTACGAGAATTTCCCTTTTCTCCATATTTGACGTAGACGTCATCATGTGTGAATATGCGCATTACGTTTTCGTCATGGATAACACATAGTTAGTTAGTTAGTTAGTTAGTTAGTTGGGTTATCGTCATTGCACTCCGGACATGTCCATAGGTGCTCAGATCCTCCCCTCAGTATGAACCCCAACGTCCGATGGCTAATAGTACCAGTTCTATGTTGATTAACAAGTCTTCTGACGTGTCCGGTGTGGATAACACATAATCATCATCATGTGTCTTCTTCTACATCTGCTGCTGCTGCTAGGTCTGCTGCTGATTCTGGTGAAGCTTCTCATCCATTCTGTTCTATTAGATTTGATTTTGTATAGGTGCACTAAACAAAGATAACAGTTACTGTCATGAACTCAGCCATTACCAGAAGATAATCGTCTCACAGCATATCTTCGGCTGCATTTCACAAGTCACAGATGTAAGAGCATACTTTTAATGTTTGTTCTGGTCTCCCTCACTTGTATTTCCTGGCAGAGATGTAAGAGCATACTTTTAATGTTTGTTCTGGTCTCCCTCACTTGTATTTCCTGGCAGAGATGTAAGAGCATACCTTTAATGTTTGTTCTGGTCTCCCTCACTTGTATTTCCTGGCAGAGATGTAAGAGCATACCTTTAATGTTTGTTCTGGTCTCCCTCACTTGTATTTCCTGGCAGAGATGTAAGAGGATACCTTTAATGTTTGTTCTGGTCTCTTTAAGTTGTTTCTCTTGGCACATATTTAAGAGAAAATCTCTATTTGCTCTTGTCTCTTTCAGTTATTTCTCCTGGCGCAGATTTGAGAGCACATCATATTTTTTTGTTTTTCCAGTTTGGTTTTGTGGAGGTAAAATTACCCCTTTGTGGACCAGAAATCTAAATGTTCTGTCACCCAATAACTGAATTGCACGCTTGATACACACTGTCAGCTGTGGATTTTATGGAAACAGATTTTTCCGTGTTTCTGTATGGTCTAATTGACTGCGCAAAAATGGTGGGTGGTCGATTACTTTAATAAGACGTGTACTTTTGCTGGTGCAATGCTTGTTTTCGTGACTGACCGTTTGCGTCAACAGTAAGTTGCATTTCTGATGTGGGACCGTTATTGTTGACATATCTAACAGCTGCCTAACGCAATATTACTTTGATTTGTCGCGATTTTTTTTAGAACTGACAAGTTTTGCACCAATTTTCAGATGGGACAGTGCAGGACATTTTGTGGACTTCCACCGGAACAGGAAGTAATCAGCTGTGGTCGATCCGTTCACACTGAGGTAGGAACCTCCTCTACTAATTACTTTTTTAACAACTATCGAGTATTTATATTGATACAAGTGGTTAGCCATTGATACAAGTGGTTGGCCATTGATACATGTGGTTGGCCAGACACTTTTCTGATTTTACCACCTTGCTTGAATTCATTCCATTAAATAAAATGTATAGGCAGACAACAAATCAAATGGTTTGGCCATGTAACAAGACTGGCATCAGACAGGGCACCATAGAGAGCAATGTTTTACAGATACAGCTGTAACGGAGCCAGAGGTCGACCACGCAAAATATGGACCCCAGAAATATCAGAGACAATGGACCCCAGAAATATCAGAGACATTGGACCCCAGAAATATCAGAGACAATGGACCCCAGAAATATCAGAGACAATGGATTCCAGAAATATTAGAGACAATGGACCCCAGAAATATCGGAGGCAATGGATCCCATAAATATCAGAGACAATGGACCCCAGAAATATCGGAGACAATGGATCCCAGAAATATCAGAGACAATAGACCCCAGCAATATCAGAGACATTGGACCCCAGAAATATCAGAGACATTGGACCCCAGAAATATCAGAGTCACTGAAAAGCACTTTATACAAAGTGAACAGAAGGACCTGTTCCAGGTGTCTCTTCCTGTCATGGCGCCGCGAGGTATTCCAGGAGTAGAGAAAAGTAGAAGAATGTTCATCAAGGCAACTTCTCTAAATTAACATTGTCTTCCAAACTAACACAGACAAAATTGAGTACTGGGTTATGTCCTGGGAAGTAAAAGCGACCAGTGTGATATTAAGACATCACCCACCAATTTGACTGATTTTAAAATTATGTCGTAAAACAATTACTGGAAACACTGCTTTGATGTCAGACATGATTGTTTCAAATTTACCACAACATGACAGCATTTTGTCTATGTGGGCTTTCTAAGTAATTCCATGAGCATACTTAAGAAGATAGAGACACGATGGATTCAAAGAAAATGGCTGGAGCGCTGAAGAAATCTCGCTGATAGCAATTAGATTAATGTTTGAGCCAGTTCACTCTGCGGTAAGATGAAATGAACATCCATCGGATTGACTTGCTGGCAGAGTCACGGTTGGCACCGGAAAAGCAAGGGACCGGGCCGACATTCTCAATGCTCTGAAGAAGGCAGAACGAGAAGATGATTCAGGAGACGACGTTGAATCGGCAGCCCTCAAAAAACTAAAAGAACTGGAGGTCAAAAGAGGTGTCGCTAAACATGAAGACTATACAGGTGTAGCCAAAGAAGAGTAGGACTTCAGGGCAAGATGACAGCGGCCATTGTTGTTTTCAAACCATCACTAATTATACATAAAGAGAAAGCAATTCGTGCACTGTTTAAAGTTAGTGGGACATAGAAGTAACAAAGGAAGTTCCCCCTCCCCCCCCCCCCCCCCGCCCCCTTTTTCCGGCACAAAGATTTTCCGGTGCTATATAGTTTCGTGCATCTGAGCTGAAAACGTCCTGGAAATATCTTCAACAGTGTGCGGCGCTTTTGACGTATTCGCTGTCATCATGGCGGTTTTTTTTTAGTCGCCACATACTGAGGGATATACTGAAGATGGGATCCGAGTGCTTATGGACTTGTCGGATGTGCAGTCAGGATAATTTGTCGATTAACTAACGAACTAACTTACTAACAACAAGACTGCATTATTTCACGAGAAAGACGGAACAATTCAGTGAACACATTTTAATGTTTATCTGTAACATATATTACTTTTCAAAAGGTCATAGTTCACAGTTCAAGGGCACTTAGATATTTCATATTCAGTGATGGTGATACATATAGCTGATGTATTGATATCGATTAAAATTGAACAGGATAAATGCCTTATGACAGCGAACATAAACTTTTTTAGCCTTTTAGGACACGTTCAGTGTCTAGACAAACGACAAATAAATAAATGAATGAATCAAGAACCGACATCACTACACTCGGGAAATTCCCACACGTGCTCAGTCTCAAAAAAGCTAAACAGTTGCAAAATTCAAGTTCCGTAAAGCTCGCTGATCTACTTTTCATTCAGTTTTATATCTTGCCATGATATTCAGTAGCCAACGAATAGTCAACATGCTAACGGTACTAGAACAAACGACAGATGAAGCTACGTGAACAGTTTGCTCACAATATGAGCTGTATGTTTATCTGACATAGCATGGCTATTATGATGGTGATGACGATGATGGTGATAATGACAACCGAGATGAATGCGATGTTGAAGATTGATGACGACGACAATAATCTTTTTTTTTTAAATTTTGTTCGTGTTCACCAGCTGAGTGTTGCATGCACGTCCGTTTTACAGATCTGACTTATTTGTGTGCAGATTATTGGTTCCTCGCCTCTCAGGCAGATGCGTTCAGGAAGCCCAAAGTTAGTCGACTCTGACGACATGCTTGTTGGGGAGGCAGTGGGTCTATGCTAGGGAAACCCCTTTTGGGGAACGACAGTAATGATAATGATGGTGGTGGTGACAGCGATGATAATGATGATGGTGGCGACGGCAATGATAATGATGATGGTGGTGACGGCAATGATGATGATGATGATGATGGTGAAATGTCTGTTTATGATTTTTGTTCCCACTAACGAACACACACAACGAAAACCAAAAACATGTCAACGACAAACTATGAAAATAATGACAGCGCGTCCTCAACCAGTCACTCAATTAGGTGCCATCTCCACACTGAATGTTGGCTGCAATGGATCTCCAACACGCTGTCTCTTGTCTTGGTTGTACACTCTTTAACTGCCGTTCATCCTTCTCTTGATGTTGTCCTTCTAGTTGTAACGTTGTATACCTCTTGCTCTCTCCAGCTTTCCCTCCAATATGGTTTTTACAAGTGTTTTATGCCTTTTAATGTGGCCACAATTCCCGCCCCCCCCTCCCCCCCAATTAAAATTTCTTTCAGTAAGTCTCTTTTCATTCTTAGTTTTTCCAAAACCCCAGTAAATCTCTACGAAGTATGACCTATTCTTCTGTAAATACACATTTCCAGACACAGTTCAATTTTGCCTGTTTATTGTCCAAGTTTCTGCACCATATAGTAATACCGATTTGATTGATTTGATTTGATTTGATTTGATTCAAGAACCGACATCACAGCACTCGGGGCATTCCCATAAGCGCTCCGTCCCCATCTTCAGCAGCCAGGGAAGAGTTCCGATACTAATGGTTCCAGTAGCTTTCTGATTAAACGTCCGTCTTGCCTTTCCTCTGAGCCTTGAGCTTCTGCCAGAACCTCTCGTCACCCCCAACTGCACCAATCTCACCAGACTTTGGTGATCCATCTGCTCCTCCGTATTGTACACACTCTCCCATAAGGTACTAACCACGTCTGGCCTATACATTTGACGATTCTCATTTTTAGTGTGTTGTTTATCTCTCTTGCTGTCAAGTTGTTTTCACATCTTATTCTAAAGATAGTTATTTATTCCTAGTTTGCCGTCATCAAGAGAGGGGGAAAAAATGTGTTCGTTGTTCTAATATCTCTCCATTTATGATGTTCGAATCGGATCAATCTGTGCCACTGTTAAAAACCATACTTTTTGTGTTTTGAATGTCAACGTTTAAACCATAATACACTCCGCCTGTTGACTTGATCGACTAGGTCTTGTAACTCCTGCCTGCTTTCTGCCAGTAACACTGTGTCATCAGCATATCTCGGAGTGTTCATTAATTTTCAATCCATATAACTAAACAGCTTGTCTAAAAATGCTTATGTATATACGTTGAAAAAGGCTTTGGGATAATACATCCCTGACGTATGTCTGATAACTGACTTCATCTCTGTCTATGGTGAGGCGATGTTGTTGGGTTTAACTCTTGCCATTTTTTCCTAGTGTAGGTTACTAATAGTTCTGATATCCTCTCCACCTAATCCCGTAATCTGGAGATATGAAATCAGCTTCTCCTGTTGCACCCTCTCAAAAGCCTTCTTGTAATCTGTAAAACATGCATAAATACTTCTCTGAACGTCTATATATTTTCAGCCCGCATCTTTAGACAAATTATGGCTTCCCTTGAACCACTTTTTTTCAGAAATCAGTAACTGTCATACCTAACACAATTCTAGACATACAAATATGCTGACGCTGAAAACCATCATCTAGTGCCTCCTGTCATGTGTTATCATAGTGTAGCCTATTGCAAGCCTATTTATTTATTTTGTCTGCTTCAGTGTGGCGTTACTTTCCTTGATACTGACATGCCTGGCCAAGCTTTACTCCAAGTCACAAAGTTGGGTTAGCACTAGCATTGTCAAAACAACATGGCTGTTCAGCTAGCCCACAGAGACCTAGAAGTAGCCCGTGCACCACCTGACAAGTCTATGTTATTCTAGAGCTCGGGCCCTTTATCGGCAACGATCCCAATGCTGCAAGCATTTGGGCCCTTGAGTAAACTTGGTTGAATGGCCATGTCATACAGTGTTGGTTATATCCAAGCCGTTCACGCTTTATCCCTATATACGTCACTTTAGCTAGTTTATTCGTACTGTTGTTCCTCAAATAATATATATGGTGTTCATATACATAATTCTAACATGCTCGCTCGCACTTCACATACACACACAACCACATACACACACAAACACATACACACACAACCACATACACACACAAACACATACATATACATTATACTATATATATATATATATATATATATATATATATATATATATATATATATATATATATATATATATTTCAGTCCAAACCAACAACCAGTGACCATAAGTAACCAATCACTTAAAAATGTAAACACTTCACATATCTTGGCAGTGTGGTGTCCGTACTGAGGAAGACATACAGTCACGTCTGAACAAAGCTAGAGCTGCTTTTGGAAGGATGAGGCAAATCTGGAAATCCAACAGTTACTGCAGAGGAACCAAACTCCGACTCTACAAGAGCATCATTTTGCCAGTTCTTCTTTATGGAGCAGAATGCTGGAGAATGACCAAAAAGGATGCACACAAGCTGTCCACCTTCCACCACACATGTCTAGGTAGAATTATCAAAAATGTTCTGGCCAGATACAATCTCAAACACTAAACTACTTCAAGCCACAAACCAAGAAACTCCAGACAATATGATAACCAAGAGAAGATGGAAATGGCTTGACCACGTTATGAGAATATACCCACCAAAACAGCTTTCACATGGATACCAGAGGGGAAGAGAAAAAAAGGGGAGCCCGAAAACAGCATGGAGACGAACGATGGAAAGTGACCTGAGTGTGGCATTTTTGACATGGAAAACTGCATTGAAGATTGCACAGGACAGGAAAGCATGGAAAGTGATTTCTGAAGCCTCAAGTGCCACTAGGAATAACGATAACTGATGATGATGACATATATATTCGCGCATGTGTGTATGTAGTGCTTGCGAGCATGTTAGAATTATGTGAATGATCACCACACACACACACACTCACACACACACACACACAGAGTGATATAAAACATCATGATATCATGAGTGATGGTCGTCGCTGTCCTCCACACATTTCACAACCATGGCCGCGTACCATTGGTTTACCAAGACCTTGAACTTTGCCCCCTGGCAACAGGCTCGTGGAATAAAATCTGGATCCTGATTGGTTGTTCGAACTTCCGCTCCAGTTTCGTAGCATAATGGTTGGACATTCTTGCGTGGCTGTACAATAAAGCAAATAATAAATGTTACTGCAACTCACTGTATATAAAAAGATAGTATAATTCTTCACACTGTATTGTAATAACTGTTGAATGTTGAATTAAAAATTAACATCACAGCACTCGGAACACCCACACCCGCCCTTGCCCCCTTAGGCGCTTCGTTCCCATCTTTAGCAGCAAGCGAAGAGTTCCAATTCGATGGTGCAAGCAACTGTCTGATTGTATATCGGTCTCGCTTCCCTGAGTGTTGAGCGTCGGCCAGATCCACTGGTAACTCCTCGCAGCACCATTTTCCTTAGACCGTAATGATCTTTTAATTAAATGAACTAAATGCGCTGGAAACCCCATACTTCTCATAATAGTCCACAGTTTGTGGTGTTGGACACAATCAAATGTCTTGCTATAATCAATAAAACACGCATGAAGATCTCGTTGTATTCTCTGCATTTTTCAAATATTATTCTCATATTAAAGATGGGATCCCTAGTTCCTCGACCCTGTCTGATACCCGCTTGTGCTTCATGTAGCTCATATTGTAATTTCCTTTCAATCCTCTTCATGATAGTTCTGTACTAGGGTGGAGAAGCAAACCAGTGAGCCTAAGAGAGCGAACTGGTCACTTCCGTCTGTTTTATCACTTCCTGACCCCCAAGTTGGCCAGGTTTTTAGCTCGCTTAAATAAGCCTAATTCAATTTATATAACAGTCGTCCAGCGGGTGTTTCAGTTCGTAAGAGGATTTTGTTAGCATTATTGCGATGGTACAGTAGTTGGAGCATAGTTTTAGATTTCCTCTCTTTGGGAGAGGGATATAGATTGATCTTTTCCACGCTTTAGGCCAAATGCCACTGTTCCAGATCTTCGAGTACAGTGCATGGTAGATTCAGACACTGACTATTCCGCCTGCTTGAATTAGTTCTGCTGGTATTTATCACAACCTGGTGACTTTCCTTTCTTTAGGCTGTGTATTGCTGATCGTACCTGTCACAACCCAGTGAGTACAGTCATCGGGCGGAATGGACCACACAGTAAAGTGTACCGTGTTCAGGTGACACTCCAGGGTTGACACAAAGGTCAGTGGCATGACTGGCCTAGTCTGTGCTGTTTGCACGGTGAAACTATCGCTCAGTGTAGACCACTTGAGGACGACGGGTAAGAGTGAACTCTGTTGCAGACAAGTTCGCAACACGATTACCCCTTGGGGGACTGAACAGGTGAACGAGTCAAAAGACACGAGGTAAGAGAATTCAGGGGGATTGGGGCGTGCAGTGTTCGGACCGAGCGGACGTGTTAGCGAGACAGTGATAGTATATTGGAGTTAGGATATTTCTTTAGCGACTTCACAGATTATTCACAGTGTTCTGTTAGAATAGTATAGTATTTTGTGCTGCGTATTTAACTGGTATAATGTATTGTGTTGTCTCACAATAAGTAAGTAGTGTCCATTTATTTATGACCAGTTAAATCGGTTAGGTACATGTTCTGTGAGAGAATGTCTAACCTTGTCACACCCTGCACTAGACAGAGGCTGTGACATCTTGGTAGGTCAGTGTGACCCAGGCATCCACCGCCACACAAAGTGTATACCGACTGGTAAATTCTGTTTCAACTACACAGCAGAGATCATAGCACTAGAGCAGGCTGCCGAAATGTTACACAACACCAGTTCAGACTGTCACCAAGTGGTCCTCTTCACCGAAGCGCTACTGGATCTCCACTCCCCAAGAGTGGTAAACTCCCTCACCTGAGATCTAAACTTGGCAAAGAGGCTGCCCTAAAGTGTACTGTACTCCAGTGGATGCCGTCCCACTGTGGTATACCAGGAAACGAAATCGTGGATAAACTTGCTAAGAAAGGGGCAGAATGTTGATAGGAAGAGAATGCAGTTACATACTTTGAGAAGAAAAGGGTTATCCAGTGTAACGAAGCTATAAATAGGGATAACGTCGGGGTTTTACTGAGTGACAGAATTGGGAAAGTCCCTAGTGTGAGAATCATGGATCATGGGGAAATGGCTGAGTGACAGAACTATTTTAACAATTACTACCCAATTTTAAATACTTCTATTATTATTCAAATGACTACTACTATTATTTACTACAACTACAACGTTTACTACTACTTTAGCTAACATTATTATTTTAACTACGCCAGCAACAAGAGGAACAACTGCTATTTCAAGTACCACTACTAAAACTAATAATTCGACAGCTGCCTCTACCCATGCTTTAAATACTACTATTACCACTCCTTGACCTATTACTGCTACTACTTCAGCTACAACAACAACAACAACAACAACAACTACAACAACAAGAAATAATATGGCTAACGTCTGGACCACATACCATACACTGGAAAAGAAATCCCATGGCGAAATCGATGGCCACCACCGTCACAGTGTCGCTGCTATTGCAGCATGGTTGTCTCTGACACGGAAAGTTCACAGACAAATTGTCAGAGGCGTATCCAAGCACCCCACTGCAGCAGGTCTCCTCTCCCGGCCCACTTTCTTCTGATGGCAATATGGACCTGGCTGTCTGCAGAAAAACGACAAAGACGAGACTGATCACTACTGGCTGCTACAACAAGTTTGCTACACAATTACTTATCTACTATTACCTCATAATAATCACTTCGTTAACATTATCACTCGTACAAGCTGGTTCTTAACTACTAATTATTTCTTCATAGTAGTAGCATTATCAAACTTGTCCATATTTTTTTTTATAAATCGAATGAGAAGTTGAGCGAATATCACAGTTAGTTCCCTTTTCCGCCACTTCCTGCAGCATTTAAAAAAAAAAACAATTTATAGTTGCAAGACGTGTTATTCTGTCTGCCCATCTGACTCACAATTTATAGTTGCAAGACGTGTTATTCTGTCTGCCCACCTGACTCACAATTTATAGTTCCAAGACGTTTTATTCTGTCTGCCCACCTGACTCACAATTTATAGTTGAAGGACAAGTTATTCTGGCTGCCCACCTAACTCATAATTTATAGTTGTGAAATGTGTTATTCTGTCTGTCCACCTGACTCACAATTTATAGTTGCAGGACGTGTTATTCTGTCTGCCCACTTGACTCATAAAATCCCAGTTGGTGGTCAGGCGTGAACTTGTGTTTATTATTCTTTAACATGTTTCTGTGATGTTGTCGGCTTTGTGGTTCAGTCGATGCGAACGCTTCGTAATGGCGGGATGCCGGGTTCAATCCCAGCTGCGGGCCATGTTGGTTTGACAGTGGTATCAAGAAAGCCGACCGTCCAGGAATCAATGGCAAACTACTGGACGTAAATATGCCTAGAAAAACCAGACAACAGCCAGGGGCAGTTGGGGTTGGTTCTGCAACGTCCTGTAAAGGATACGCAAATAACCTTCTGTTATTAGAAGCCCGAATCTGTGTAATTTTTTTTCTAATGTCTCATTATTATAATAACTATAGTTGATACTTTGTACCCCATGTGGAATCTCACGCCTGTCCGATTTCCAGCCTGGTGATACATGACTAATTAATATTTATTAATGTATATTTACTAAAACCAGCCCATACTTGGTTGTAAAAGAACATCTTTGTGATTTTAGTTTTATAAATCACTATGTGGAGTTTGCTTAGAATTTGCCAAGAGCATTCTGAGATTAGTATTAAAAAGGGCATTCGATGTAATGTATACAGTTTCTAGATTCATATTGTCGGAGTGAGAAGAAGGATGTGAACGGGGCTCATATTTCCAATAATCATTGTTATCAATAATTCACCAATACCAAGAATAGGTGTTCACTGTCCTTGTCTGTGCCCATCAAATTTCAACAGTTATATTTTATCAACTTCTTGTCTCAGTAAATACGATTTAGACATTGTATTTATGCAAAGATGAAACTTGTAAGTGTGTGAATATTTCATGATGTCACTTGTGTGGGATATGGAAAACCCACTGCTATCTCTCATTTAGTTAAAACTTTTACAGCAAGCACCCAGTTATACTGAGATATCTCTTTTACCATTTATGTTCAATCTACAACCAGCCCAGTTATACCGAGATATTTCTGTTACCATTCATGTTCAATCTACTACCAGCACCTAGTTACACTGAGATATTTCTGTTACCATTCATGTTCAATCTACTACATACACCTAGTTACACTGAGATATTTCTGTTACCATTCATGTTCAATCTACTACATACACCTAGTTACACTGAGATATTTCTGTTACCATTCATGTTCAATCTGTTACCATTCATGTTCAATCTTCTACACACATTTCTATTACCATTCATGTTCAATCTACTACAAGCACCTAGTTATACTGAGATATTTCTGTTACCATTCATGTTCAATCTACTACAAGCACCTAGTTACACTGAGATATTTCTGTTACCATTCATGTTCAATCTAACTACAAGTACCTCAGTCTACTGAGGATAAGCACCCTAGTTATCTACTGAGATATTTCTGTTACCATTCATGTTCAATCTACTACAATCACCTAGTTATACTGAGATATTTTCTGTTACCTCAGTTCAATCTACTACAAGCACTAGATACTGAGATATTTCTGTTACCATTCATGTTCAATCTACTACCAGCACCTAGTTATACTGAGATATTTCTGTTACCATTCATGTTCAATCTACTACAAGCACCTAGTTATACTGAGATATTTCTGTTACCATTCATGTTCAATCTACTACAAGCACCTCATGTTATTCTGAGACTATATTCTGTTACCATTCATGTTCAATCTACTACAAGCACCTAGTTATTCTGAGATATTTCTGTTACCATTCATGTTCAATCTACTACAAGCAGTTCTGTTACCATTCATGTTCAATCTAGTTACCTAGTTACTGAGATATTTCTGTTACCATTCATGTTCAATCTACTACAAGCACCTAGTTACCGACTACCAGATGTTTTCAATTTCTACCAGCACCTGTTATACTGATTCATTTCTGTTCAATGTTCTATCTACTACAAGCACCTAGTTATACTGAGATATTTCTGTTACCATTCATGTTCAATCTACTACAAGCACCTAGTTATACTGAGATATTTCTGTTACCATTCATTTTCAATCTACTGCATGCACCTAGTTACACTGAGATATTTCTGTTACCATTCATTTTCAATCTACTGCATGCACCTAGTTACACTGAGATATTTCTGTTACCATTCATGTTCAATCTACTACCAGCACCTAGTTATACTGAGATATTTCTGTTACCATTCATTTTCAATCTACTGCATGCACCTAGTTACACTGAGATATTTCTGTTACCATTCATCTTCAATCTACTGCATGCACCTAGTTACACTGAGATATTTCTGTTACCATTCATGTTCAATCTACTGCATGCACCTAGTTATACTGAGATATTTCTGTTACCATTCATGTTCAATCTACTACAAGCACCTAGTTATACTGAGATATTTCTGTTACCATTCATGTTCAATCTACTACAAGCACCTAGTTATACTGAGATATTTCTGTTACCATTCATGTTCAATCTACTACCAGCACCTAGTTATACTGAGATATTTCTGTTACCATTCATGTTCAATCTACTACAAGCACCTAGTTACACTGAGATATTTCTGTTACCATTCATGTTCAATCTACTACCAGCACCTAGTTACACTTAGATATTTCTGTTACCATTTATGTTCCATCTACTACGAGCACCTAGTTATACTGAGATATTTCTGTTACCATTCATGTTCAGTCTACTACAAGCACCTAGTTACACTGAGATATTTCTGTTACCATTCATGTTCAATCTACTACCAGCACCTAGTTACACTGAGATATTTCTGTTACCATTCATGTTCAATCTACTGCATGCACCTAGTTATACTGAGATAGTTCTGATACTATTCGTGCTCAAAACTGCTTAGCTTACAATTTATGAATTTCACACACATGTAAATTTACTTCCAGAATCCAGTTGTCTGTAATGTAAATTCCATGTTGTTGAATTTAGAATACCCAGTGGAAATATAATAGTATGTGGAATATATTAAACATTTAGAGAGTGCTAATGTAAAGAGATCAGAACCAAACAGTTAATTAAGCGTTTTGTCTTTGAATGAGGTAACTCATGTAACTGGAAATATTACGCTTTAAAATGGTGTCTATGAAATATGTCGGCAGAAATATGGTCACGTTTCAGTGGATAGTACCATTCTCTACCACACAAGAAGGTTGAAACATGTTACCAGCCTACTCCAAACGTGTGAGTAGTGTACCAATATATGAGGACTCAAGACAGGATAGCATTTCGATCAAGAACAAAATACTGCACATTTAACACACACATCACACACACATACAAACATGCATACACACACAAACATGCACACAACATAGACTTGGCAATCCAAATATTGTCCCTGCTAAATCTGAGCACATACTACAATCTCCCAGATGGGTGATGTGGTCAGCATCACGCCGGCCGCCTTTACTTTCCGGGACTACACCCGGTACCCACTCAAGGCTGGGTCGACCTGGGAGCCAAGGTCATTTTTAAAAATAGTCCGGCTCCGCCAGGGAGCGAACCCACGAGTCTAGCCGCTCGGCCATGGCGACTCCCAATAATCAGGTAGCGTCTGAATAATGAAAAGTTGACTGTAATCTGACGCCACTATTCTCTGTCTCTCGTTCTTGGCGTATACTTTCTGAGACTGCTGCTCTCTATCCATCTTGTGAAGTTATCCTCCCATTTGTCTGGCTGCTTTCATCACAAGCTTCCAAACTGTTTCTCCTGTCTAGTTCTTATAAAAGTGTTTGTCTTTTAATGTCTTCACTGAGCCGTGAGTTTTTCTTTCTTTCAACAACTTCCCATTTACTATCAGTCTATCATCGCTGCCCATGGATGTTTTGAAAGAGGCGAGGGTTCGAAGACAACGTATCAGAAATTTATCAGAAAGAGGCAGTTGTCATGAGAAGAAGGAAACTGCAAGCAGGGAAAATACCTGTAGAATAAAAGAAACAGGAAGAGAATGCCATTTGTCATGGCATGGAGGAGTGTGAGCACACAGACCGATACTGCTGCTGATGATTGTAGATTGTGGAGATGTAGGATTGCTCATGCCAGTCTGCGAAATACTTGATTATGATGATGATTGTACATTGTGGAGATGTATGATCGCTCATGCCAGTCTGCAAGGTACTTGATAATGATGATAAGTCAGAACTGCTCAACTGTAGAGTTTTTGTTTCCTTAAAATACAGAATATTCTTCTATATATTCCTATCTCAGCGAGCCTCAGTTTCGCTAAATAACCGCTGGTCCACTGGACCAGGTTTCCTTCCACTACGCTATTCAAATTGGGTGGATACAGAAATGACTGTTGGATGTGGGAACATTGTAACGAAATTCATTTCTTATTGCCGGTTAAATAATTCATGATTTGTCTAGATGTAATATGTCTGGATATGGTTGAAATGACTGAGACAGTCTGCGTTCTAGATGAGATGGATGTAGAAACAAAAACGTCAGAAATATGATCGATGGAGCGTCATCCATCGATTTCCCC